CAACGAGAGATGAGAGATGAGTACACACCCCAAGCAATTGTATATGAACACAATCCAAACCAGATCCCCCCTTTTCCTTTTCCTTTTCCTTTTCCTTTCCCTTTTCAAACCCCGTCTTAAAAAATGGTCGCACCAAAACTCTCTCCTTCAGACCTCCGTGTACCATGCTATTCTCATGACTCAACATCCATCTATCCCAATCCACTTGAGCTTTTCGCGTCTACCTACCTGCTAGCTGCTACCTGCTAGCTAAATGCACCCACGCACCCACTTACCAGTCTTGAGAGCTTTCCATTAGAAGTCTAAAAAAATCCGGGGAGTCTTTTTCTGGGAGCGCGATGATAGTGCAGATTGTCCGTCGGTAGGTAAGAAGAAGTAAGTATAAGTATATTCCTCTCTTCGGTTTTCCTGTACGTTATGAATTTGTGGTGTGGTGTGGCGGTACGGTACGGTATCGGCAGTTCTTCTGGGTTCGGATCATATATGCTGCTATTGTATTCCCTATTGTTCAGAGGTATAAAATGAGGGATACCTCTGTGCGGAGTTGAAGCTTGCTGGTGGTGAGGAGGAGTCGGATGAAGAAGAGACGATGGATAAGGAGATGTCGTGGTTAGGTGTGTCTGTCAGTATGTATGTATGTATGTATGTATGTATATATGTAAGCTGGTCTAGGCCCGGCGCTTTTACAAATATGATATTCTGAATACCATTTCATAGAACGAATGACAGCAAGAGAGAAGCGGTGGACTTTCATCGGAGATGACAGCAGTAGGAATATGTTACCATTGTCATCTCTTGGAAACATGTCGCGATCAATAAATAGCTCTGAGGTCTCCCAGGGCTCGTCCACACCATTGATCGACAGACTGGACACTCCCACCCCTTCCGCCTCCCTCTACCACCTGGCGTTTTAGTCCTCGGCGAGTCCAGGCATACTGAAGTCTGTGTTTTCTGGGCGACAGGTTATGTACCCATCTCTGCCTCTCCAAATTCGGCTGCTGTGTTTGTGATCTGAGACATCGTACTTACTTTCCGCTCGCGCAGAACCTCGAGCTCTTATCAATAGGCCACTAGGAGGAGATCTTTGGAAAAGGAGGACTTTTTTAAGGCATATTGTCAATGAGGTGAAGCTGATGGCGAAAAGTCGATGGCGAAAAGAAGGTGTGATTGATCGAAGCAAGAAAATATTCGTCACGAAGAAGACGTGGAGTTGAATGTGAATAAGAAGTGTTGTTTTTCGAACGCGAAAAAGACTCGTGACGGAGAATGGGGATGATAGAAAGGAGTAGTTATTTATGTGAGCGGAAGAATATTCGTGAGGAAGGGGACATGTTGTGGCCTTAGGCAGAGCTAGGAGCGCACGGATGATTGGTTGGAGGGTGTAATGGCCTGAGGCCATTAGGCACGATACTCCCTGCCTACTTAAGGCCACCGAAAGAATATCCAACTTTAGAATGGCCAACTCTAGAATGCCCCGATTCGATAGATGCAAGGACTATGATAAAACGATGCCGGCCGAACTTTAGCAAAATAAATTAAACTATACAGTAACTTCGAAGTGGACGACTCGGACAACCTTTTACCTTTAACATACCTTAGAGCTATTTCCATCTTCTTGGCCGATGAAGCAAGCAAGAAATTCAGGTCGAACATAAGGATGAGACACATCATCGCTAACGAGATCACAGCTACGGACAGAGAAAAGCCAGAAGCGATCGATGGATTAAAGACATAGTTTCCCACTAACGAAGAGCTTACCGAAGAACGAGATGTTATCGCAGAAGTGAGGCTACCTACTGGTATGTTACCTCACGCGGCACATACCTCTCTAGAGAACCATCTCCCGCTTTGCAACCTCACCCAAATCCATTGTCTGGGGGCGATGATAAAAAGGAGAGGTGTTGGCAAGATAAGTAAAGCCGACAGTCAATAGCTAGCTACGACCACGCGGCTTGCAATGGCAGCAGCAGCAGCAGCAGCGGCGGCGGCAAGTCTCGTCGTTCTGCAGGAGTGTAGGTCTAGATATCTAGATATCTAGTTACTTCTAGTCCTCGCAGCACTTGCAAAGAGAATGTGCGGGCGGGCATACGGAGGCAATAGGTACGTACCTCACGCACATTCCGTCGTGGCTAGTATCTACCAATATCCGGTGAGTCGCTGTGAGATTACAAGGCTCTGCAAGAGTTAAGGGTATTAAATACCCTCTTTTGCGACCCGCGGGCTGTGTCTGTTTTAGCGGCCGAGAGGGGGTTTTGGAGGTGAATAAATAATTAAATATATACATATATATACACGTAAGCTGGCCGGGGAATTTATTCACTGAGAGTTTTACGAATAGTGGATGCTATAGCCAAACTCCCTGTAGGGTTTTCGATGCTATCGTCACCCCTTCTCGACGAGAGATCCGAGTGAAAATACGATCCAAGGGCTGCTCGCAACATTCCGAGTCCTTCGCCACGTTGAAACCTCAAAGACGATAGCCAATCTCGTCTCTCTCATACTAGTCTTTCGAAGGCAGGAAGAGAACAGACAGACAGGCAGACAGACAGACATTCCTTGCTCGCCACCATGGAATGGAGCTAAGCGCAGGGAAATCCGGCACGTCAAAATGTGTACCGGTATCTCCATTCATTCATCGACAACCCCCTTAAAAACCCACACTTCAGATCTCTTTCCCAGGACATTCCGCGGGTGGTGTATTTCCGATCGCGAAAGTGTAGGGTTGGATACATCGCTTTGGGTGGCCGACAAGCGGTCTCCCTCGTTTCAATGGGGCTTGGAGTTAGTTTCTTGAATGGGTACTATGTAAGATAGATGGAATCTGGATTGATGAATTGAGAGAATGCAGGAGGAGATGAGGGTTGGAAGTCTTGATGCGAGATGACCGTAGAGAAGGAGGTGACAATGGAAGAGAACTTGATAATGAGAAGGGAGACTGCTCTGTAGAGAAGAGATTTCATGATACCGCATGGGAATATACAAGAGAGTACCTAATAAGCATTTGCGATGGATGTCCTCTATCGATGTGGCCCGTAGACTCGATTGAATATGTGCAAATGATCGATAATTTAGAAATAATATTTTTTCCTTCCTTCGACTACCTTCGGCTACGTCGACAGGATCCTTTATAAAGAATGGGAGAACGAATCATATGCTCTTGGTCAAGCGATCGCAGTCTGAATAGTGATACCACACCATCAAACCTTCCTCTTCAATAGCCCCTTGAAGAAGTCAAAACTATTACTATCACTCTGCAACTCCCAAACCTTCCCCGTCGGACGATCTTCCCAGCCCAATTCCTCCGCTCTCAACAACCCCCAATCCCTAGTAATGCCCACCACCCTGGCTCTTACACCCCCCTCAGCCTCCAGCGTTACAATCTGGTCCGTGTGCAGCCAGTGCTTGTAATAAGTTTCCTCGAGCTTACGATCAAATCCTGTCCTACAGAAACTTTTGTAGATGCTTTCGAATCTGGTGAGGATCCGCGCGAGCAGTTTTTCAAGGGTGAAGGGTGTCTGGGAGGGATTAAGCAGTGCATTGAGGGAGGTGGTAGGGGCGGCGTTGGTGGTATTTAGACCAATGCCTACGACCAGGTCGTAGGCGCCAGAGGAGTAGGAGGAGTTGACGAGGATACCACCAATCTTGACGTATTCCTTCTTATCGGTCTTTGTGAGATCTTGAGCATCTAAAAATCTTCAATTGGTGATAGTTGGAAAGCTGGGTGAGTAGGGCTTACAGATATCATTTGGCCATTTCAACTTGACTGGAACCTGGTCGTAACCACGGTCGTATGACTGGATACCTTCTACAATTGCGATGGCGGCCAGGTACTGTATGAAGACTACTGGCGCAGTGTTACTGAGCTCCATTGCGTGCTTCATGCTTGTTGAGAAGATCAAGCACCCAGCTGGTGAGACCCAAACATTGGAGCCTCGGCCACGGCCAGCTACTTGTGTGGTAGCGGTGAGTGTGAACCCGGGTGGCAACGTGGATAATAATTTCGGGTTCCTGACAAATGTAAGCGGGAGACACGCGAATATAACTGCTTTGCATACTTCTCGAGCAGAGTACTCGTGCTCGTCACAACCTCTCCGTACACAAGATACTTTCCGTATTCTTCAGCTTCGCCTCCCTTCTCCTCCTGATACTTCCTTAAATTGATATAGAAAGCGTTGTGGTTGAAGTATGGCGTCTCCTTCGTGCCCGGCCACTCCGTCTCGTGCGGAATCAGACGTTTGGTGATAGCATTACAATCGAATATTCTGTCATCCGAACAATCAACCTGATCAGCCGAGATACCTTCACTTCCCTTTGGAATACCAGGCAGAGGAAGCATTTTGACGAGAGAGTTCACCGACCAACGAGAATCCTGCTTCTCGAGGTAGAAAGTATCGTTCTCGGCCTTGATATACTCTTCGCCATCTTCTATTGTGATGATATCTTCCCAGGAATCAAGCAAGCCTGAGACTAAATGATGATGCATTGACGAGAGATGGAGACGAGAAAGGGATGGTACCGAAGATGTCTCCTGGCTGACTATCAGCCCGAGTTTGCTGAGGCAGGCCTTGAGGAAGTTGACACGAGATGCATCGTCCTCGGCCAGTTCATCGACCAGCTTTGAATACTCTGGACCGTTTGACTTTGAGTCGAGATTTACAGCGGCAAATCTAGATTCGTGAGCTAAAATTTCACGACAGAGAGGGACTCACTTACTCTGGATGTGGTCCAGTCAAAATAGCTCCTCCTTCGCCAACCTTGCAAAACACAACCGCTGCTGATCCCCCTTCGACGTCAAGGTCGCTGGAGTATTTTGCAAGAACTTCGACTCCTTTACCGGCAAAACTATCTGCTTCGACGAAGATACCCCCACCGTTATAGTATGACCGGAAAGACTGAGGGACGACCCCGGTCTTGAATGCTTCCTTTTGAACCTGCAAATCTACTGCTCTAGCACCTGCTTCACTGTGATAGACGAAACCTTTGAAAGCACATCCCCGACTGGTACCCGGAAAGAAAGACAGCTCTCGTGAGCCAATGACTTCCAGAACCCGGTTCCCTACTTCAAATTCGCATCTTGAGCTTCCATAGTAGCCACCCGCACAGAAGCCGAGGTACGCACCGCCGCGACGGACGTAAAGCTCGATGCGACGATTCCCCTCCCCGTTCAAAGACCGACAATAGCCCATATCGGCTCCGCCTGGGAACACCAAGAGTGCACAGGAAGCAGTCCATGGCTCTTTGAGGATCACGTTGTCGGTCACGGGGATGACTGCGTAATTAGGTGATAGAAGGCGCCGTAGAGTATACAGACAATGTCTTACACATTCAGTTGTACTGCCATTGCCTAGAAAATTATTAATCACAGATTCCGATGCGCGTTGATTTCCATACCTGAGTACACCAGAACATTCATCTTCCTTGTCGCCATCTTGCTCGATTCTCCGGACCCTAGCCAACCGAGACCGAACTTGATCTCTAACCCTCGTCCGACCTTTTCTCCCTACAACATCAACAAAAAAATGTCGAAAGCCGAGAGTGATTCGAGTGTAGCGGCCGCGGTTGGAGACGATGATGAGCCGGATGAGTGGTAAGAAGAAGAGGCCCAACGTTATGATCCCCAACTGAGACGTGTCTTGTAGGGACAAGAGGATCTACAGCACCGGCTGCGCTGGTGAGTTCTGACAGCCGAGGAAGCTTTGCTCCTGTCTGAGTCTGATATGGGGGAATAGCGGAGAATTTGAAGATGACGGAGTGTTTTTACGGGAAGAGGGATTGGAGACTTTGCAAGGACGAGGTGAGCCTGGATTTAGCGGACGATGACAATCACGTGTGCGAATAAAAAAAATTGAAGTCGAACTGATTATACGGATACTTTCCAGATGGATACCTTCAAGAGATGTTGGAAGCTGCACCAGAATGACAAGAGGACCGATTCGAAGGATGCTTGATGTGGTAGCGAACCTTTCAACATGGACTTGTGGGTTGTAGGATTACCTGTGTGTACAAACAAACCAGACTCTCTTCTCAGTATGAAATGAAAAGGATTTCCTTCATGAATCTCATATCAAGCGGCGAGATTCGCTTTAGTTTGTAACTTCTCCAGATCTCGAACTTTGATTTCTGGTGTGGTCGGCCAACACGGGGTCAATCCCGTCGCGACTTTGAATAATTTGCGAAGTGCGCGTCTGTCTGTCAACGCGGAACACCAACCATGTCGGCATTCATACCCAGAGCAGCACGCTCAGCTCTGACAGACAACCTGTCCGCATGTATTTCTAGATCATCAAGAGCTGCACGATCGAATCCATTTGGCGCAGGAAACTCTTCACGATGCATCTCAACCACTCGCCGATGCGCAGCTATTCCTACATCAAACTATGTTCGCAAAGAAAACGCCGCCCCGAAGCCAGCATCGCCTCCGCCATCGACGCAAACCTCGATTGACGACCAGTCGCCCATCAAGGATATGACCGGTGGTCTGGCAGACGAGCCATTGATTCTCGACGAGGGGTCCAGGCAGGTGGATTGGACGAAGTCTTTCCATGGTCTGTCATCGCAGCCCTTCTCCAAGGAGGCTGCGGACGTTTTGATGGCGCCTGTGGAGCCCGACGATGTGGAGGTCAAGCCGGATGGGATCATATACCTGCCGGAAATCAAATACAGGAGGATATTGAACAGAGCGTTTGGGCCGGGTGGATGGGGGCTGGCCCCGAGAGGAGAGACAATTGTTACTGGAAAGAGCATCACGAGGGAGTACGCTCTTGTCTGCCATGGAAGGTAAGCATCTTACTGTCATAACAGTGGTGATTATGGCCAAATGCTTAAATTTCTCTCCTGCAGATTGGTATCAGTAGCTCGAGGCGAACAAGACTACTTCTCCCCCGAGGGCATCCCCACTGCAACAGAAGGTTGCAAATCGAACGCCCTCATGCGCTGCTGCAAAGATCTTGGCGTAGCCAGCGAGCTGTGGGATCCCCGCTTCATTCGGAAGTTTATGAAGGAGAAGGCCAAGCAGATTTGGGTTGAGCATCTGCCGACGAAGAAGAAGAAGCAGATGTGGTTGAGGAAAGACGATGAAGTCAAATACCCATACAAGGAATCAAAGTTTGGCGCATAGATGGTCGGGAACGGAGTTTGATGTGTATAGATGGAGGGCCGGTTGTACCATAGAATGTACGATATGGTACAGCGCGAACGGTCGAATACATACCTCACATATCGCCGGACACGGTTCACATCGCTGTTCAGTGGCTAGTGGTATCTGCTGGATAGCCCATCATATACTACTGCCGGGATATATCTTGGATCCGCATCCATGTTGGTCTGTTGCTCAACCGGCAATTGAGAAGCAGCGCGACATGGCGCATGTGGGGAGCTCAATAGGATCGAGGTCGAGGTAGATAAAGCAATGGCCATGGTAGCACCTAAATCTCACTCTGGGCCCTTCCCCAGATGTCCTGGAAATTCTCAAGCTCATAGGCTAATAGGGGGTGGTATAATGTAATAGAAGTAAGCTTCTTTCTCATTTGTAGCTGTTTGTACTAAGCAGCAAGCTACCTCACAGTTTGTTGCTCTTTTATCACAACAAGCCGCAGTCACTGGTATCTTTTTGCGATATTAGCAGACGAAGCCTGGCGAGGTTGGTGAAGCGAATCGGCCTGATACCGACATTGAATTCCTGTGTCAAGGAAGAGCCGTTCAGCGTCCCAAGTACTGGTTATGGAAAGGGCGCGAGTGAGCTTCATAATTTGAGTACCTTTCAGCCACTTTTCTAAGTCTTTTCCTGTATCTATATTCGGTTACTTCAGCGAGCTCCTCTATTTTGCATGTTCCTCGGTCGACCGTCTTTATTATGCCTCGACAATATATCTCTGAATTTGAAGAAATCTCGCTCAACATCACGGATCTCGACCACCTAGCCCAGTTTCTCTTGATAAAGCAGCACTGAGTACATGCGCAGCAAACGCAGCATCTTCCGCCGTGCTCGCCTTTTTTTGATACATCAAGTCGTTAAACGATTTACCGCTTATCCATACACATGTACCCTCCACGTGTGCTGTAGTCTCGATTTCTTCAACCGGAGATTTGAACGAGGTCAAATACGCCAAAATTCGACTTCATTACGAAATTACGTATTCAGTTACGTTTGCAATCCAGGGCTCTCTGGTTTCCTGGATGAGTTTTGCTACTTTTTTAATTGAATTTAAACGCGTACCGTTATCAATTCGATACTTTAGGCCTTTGAAAGAGTTCTGACGGTCAAAGTGATTCGCAAAAATATTTTCTAAAGATTGAAGAATTCATTTAGATGGATTTAAAGTATAAAACCAAGAATGATGATGATTATACGAAAGCGCGAAAGAGTAGTAAGGAAAGATTGTTATTTAATAAACAAATAAAAAAGTTTTTCTGATCACCTTACAATCCTCTCGCTTAGTCCTTTACGGTAATGATATATCAACACTCCAGTACGATAACCTTTCACCTTAATCAGATCCCGGCCAACAATATTCGAATCGTATCCAAGTATACCAGTTCTTTCCAGAGACTGGTAATTAATCAAATAATCTTCGAGGATCTCGAGTTGGCCACGACGGAATCACTACGCCGCGCTAGGCTGCTGATTCCCAAGCTCTCATTCAATGTGTACGCGTACATCCTATTTCAGTAAATCTTCTCTTGAAGATCGAATCAGAAGTATTCAAGAGTTTTTCGTTCTATCAGCAACCAGTCTTTTTCAACAGGCTGTGAATCCCACATCTTCCTTCCTTCCTTCCTTCCTTCCTTCCTTCCTCTTCCAACGGGCAAAAATCGGCAATACAACCAAAAGATCAGACTACCTACGTAGACAGACTCTAGAATCCACCTTTTCCTCAAATCCTAAAGTAGCCCAGCCGCTACGCCCGTTCGCCAGAAGGGGAAAACCACCAGACTTGCATGATAAGCGTATTCATCGTCACCTAACATTAACATCGATAACACATTACACACTTACATGGGAAAGAAGAGGGGGAGGATGAGTAAAGGCAGCGATACCTTCGTAAAGCTGTGCTTCAGCCTCAACCCCATCTGCTGGCTCGGTCTTCTGGTCGGTCGGTAAACACTCCCCTTTTCAAACCTCAAACTTGCAAACTTCGACTTCGACCTGAACACTTTCCACCATCCGGAAAGGCGAATGCTATGAACCACGTGCACCGCTCTCTAGTTCTCCCTGCACTCTCTCTCATCCCCAAACCTCCTCTCCAGAACTTCCCAAGATCGATTTCAAGACCGTGTATTGTTCCCCGTCTCCCTACTGACCGTAGTCTCCAGGCCTTGCTCTTGGCTACGACAGGCCGCTGCCGGGGATGTCGGACGGCGGCGGCGGTGGTAGCAGTAGGCGGCGCAAAACGAGCTCGACGGGTAGGCATCGAACGAGCTTAGGGGGGTAGACATAGACACAGGAAGAGTTCCAGCGGCGGACATCGAAGACGGCGCCACCACTGTTGAACCTTCCCTGATAATCCAAGAAGCGGCTCTCCGAGAACTCGAAAATCAAACGTAGGTTCTTTACTCACTTTCTACAGTGCTATTCATTGATGCGTATCTCTCGTCTGATTTGCAGACGTTAGTATGCTATTTAATCTTTTTTTTTTCTTCGAGAATGAACGCTTTGCATTTCTCTAAGAATGATGTTGTCATACATGTATTCTAGTGGAGTGTCTCCAGTCCAGCGTCTAGAGTGATCGGTCGCCCTTAGCCGTGCAGCCGTGGAGCTTGCTATAAGCTTGAATGTGCATTTGGTTGTTGATTGACTTTGGTTCTCTCTCAAAGGAGTTTTGGTTCTCTCTTAAAGAGTCGGGCCAATCTCTTTATTCTTACTTCACTCTTCTCCTTCTTACTACATCTCTCTCCTTCTTGTCGCTATTTACTTCATCGTATTCGGAAGTTTGGTAAGCGAAGAGGTATCAAACGAGCAAGAACGAGCAATACTCGTTTGGTGCGCTGGTTGGAGAGTTAGGATAACCTCTTTTGACATCCTCTCCACGTAGTAATGGTGATGATGACATTCAAAATCAAATTTTCTTCGGCCACATATATATTTACATTCCAAAATAAAACACAACTTTTTCTTTACGAAAGAAAAAAGAAAAAAAAAAAAAAAAGGCAAAACTTAACCGTAAGCTCATATACTATTATGAGGTTCCAGTCTACAAACCTAATTGAATAGGTTTTCCGGTCTACGAAGTTTACAATGCCACTTTAGTGGCTAACGACAACTGGCGGGAAACTGGTGATCCGTTCTCAGCGGCATAGGGAGGTATGCCAACTGAGCCATCGGCTCTATTTCCCGCCAGGTGAAAGGAGCCGCGGAGTTGGCTTATATCAACCAAGTGATTTTTTTTTTCTTCACCCCCTCAGACATGGCAATGGGAGCATACGGATCTGAAGCTCTGGCGGGGATCTCCTCTCCAGCTCTCGGACTCAACGTTCCTACTCGGTTGGAAATGACCAAGCTAGTCCCACTGATAATGGAGCTCCAGACATCTCCTGGCCCATTGCTTGTCCCGACAGAGTCTCCCTAATCCGCCCAGATATCCAGTCGAAAAATAAGATTCCTTCGAGTTGTCTCTCGGGAGGTCCAATTTTAAAGGAAGCTATCTTCAGGATTTCGCTCCCCCAGCATCATCACCGCCAGCTCGGCTCATTCGCTTATCCATTGTGAGTATTCAAACAAGCATACTAATTTCGGGAGAGGAAAGCTTGATTTTCGAGTCTTCCATGTCCATCAAGCGTCAAAAGTACCGGTAATCAAAAGGCAAGAAACAAGAATGGGCAAGCACTTGTTCTCTAAAGTCAACGTCTATCTGCGCAATATTCACATCTTGTTCTGCTGTATCTTCGCAAGTCATCAAAATGTATAAACCGATCATTATCTCTTTCGGGGGCTGATGTTGAATTATAAGCGCCGCGGTGAACTCTGCGTGAATTTCTCCACCAACGAACGGGAGCAGAGACAGAGACGATCCCCCACCTCGGGAAAGAATTGTCCCTTCGATACGTCCGTCAACTTCAGACCAGGAACTTTCTATCTGGCCCATCCATTCTCGAACTCATTCCGATCTTGTTATTTTTCTTGTGTTATATACACTTCTTTACCATCTCTTCTCGCATTGTATATATTCATTGTGTAAACTCCCCTTCCCAAGAAACCCACCATTCCAGAGCGACGTCTACCCCTCCATCTGGTGCCAACATGGCAGAAGTCACCATCACCGGCTGGGACTCTCGCGATGTACGATTCCCAACCTCCCTCGACAAGACTGGCTCCGACGCCATGAACGCAGCAGGCGACTACTCCGCCGCATACTGCATCCTGAAGACGGACTCGCCCTTCTCAGGCCACGGCATGGTGCGTTGGGAACCCCCTCAATGACCCCCCCCCCTCCCCCCCAACTCCTCCAGAAAATCCTCCTGAAACCCCCCAGAAACAAAAGGAAAAAAAAAACCCCCCAAGAAAACCGGGAGATAGGAAACCCACTGACACCTCATCACTCGGCAGACCTTCACCATCGGCCGCGGCAACGACATCGTTTGCAAAGCCATCGACAATGTCGCCGACCGCATCCGAGGCCGCACCCTCTCCTCCCTCGTCGCGAACTGGGGCCAGACGTGGCGCTACCTCGTCTCGGACTCGCAGCTGCGCTGGATCGGGCCCGAGAAGGGCGTCATCCACCTCGCGCTCGGCGCCGTCGTCAACGCCATCTGGGACCTCTGGGCCAAGACGCTGGACAAGCCCGTGTGGCGCATCGTGGCCGACATGTCGCCCGAGGAGTTCGTGCGGTGCATCGACTTTCGCTACATCACGGATGCGATCACGCCCGCGGAGGCGGTGGCCATGTTGAAGGGGGTCGAGGCCGGCAAGGCGGAGAGGGTGCAGCACGCCTTGGAGAGCAAGGCCGTGCCGGCGTATACGACGAGTGCGGGCTGGCTTGGCTACGGGGAGGAGAAGATGAAGGGGCTGCTGGAGGAGACGTTGAGCAAAGGCTACCGGCACTTCAAGCTGAAGGTTGGGACGTCGCTCGAGGCGGATCGGAAGCGATTGACTATTGCGAGGGAGGTGATCGGCTATGACACGGGCAACATCTTGATGGTGGATGCGAACCAGGTACGCATCTATATATCTTCTCTTCTTCCTCTTCCTCTTCCCCTCCGCCTCCACACATCTCCTCGTCACCTCATCATCTCACGCCAATCCGCTTTTCTGACCAAAGATCCCTCCCCATCTCTTTAGGTCTGGTCCGTACCGGAAGCCATCGAGTACATGCAGCAGCTGAAGGACTTCAAGCCCTGGTTCATCGAGGAGCCCACCTCCCCGGACGACATCCTCGGCCACAAGGCCATCCGCGACGCGCTGCGCCCGCACGGCATCGGCGTGGCCACGGGCGAGATGTGCCAGAACCGGGTGATCTTCAAGCAGCTCCTCAGCTCGGGCGCCATCGACGTCTGCCAGATCGACGCCTGCCGCCTGGGCGGCGTGAACGAGGTCCTCGCCGTCCTGCTCATGGCCAAGAAGTTCGGCGTCCCCATCGTGCCCCACTCCGGCGGCGTCGGCCTGCCCGAGTACACGCAGCACCTGAGCACCATCGACTACGTGTGTGTCAGCGGGAAGCTGAGCGTCTTGGAGTACGTCGATCATCTGCATGAGCATTTCAAGAACCCCTCCGTTATCAAAGGTGGCTACTATCAGACCCCCATGGAGCCCGGGTACAGCGTGGAGATGAAGCCCGAGAGCATGGAGCGCTTCAGCTTCCCCGGCGGTCCGTCGGGATGGTGGCAGAGTGATGAGGCGAAGCCGATCTTGGAGGGTGTCAAGATCTAGGTGGCGAACCTAGGTTGAGATACTGTAGATGGAAAAGGGGGAGGGGAGGGGTGGCGTTATCTATTCTCCTAAGTAAAAAGAGGGGCTCGATTTTTTTTTTAAAAAAAAAGAAAAATCGTACGCAGTGAAACGATGGCATACTGTATGTGTATAGCCGGCTGGCGAGCTGGCTTTCCCGGAACACGTTTATTGGAGAAAAGAGGCGGATCCGAAAGAGGAGGAGGGTGTCGAGAGTTTTCAGGTTGGGCTTCTCGGCAGCAGGGCAAACGATGGCATCCTGTATAATAGTCGTCTCACTGTTATCCCAAGCGAGAATCGAGAATCGAGAATCGAGAATCGAGAATCGAGAATCAAGAATCGAGAATCGATAATTGAATGTTCAAGATGATGTTGGTTGGCCTTTGTTTGGTTCGCTCGCGTATCATAATGACTAACGACATGACATGACATGACATGAATTGTATTGTATTTATTCATTCAATGAAGGCTACTCTACTCGGACTCGGACTATACTATGTCTAAACTTTAAAGGTTACCGTCTACATCAAAACTTACAACGTACATCTTCCTCCTGGCAACAGATATTGTCACATATCAGCTTGATTTTATACAGGCTCCGTTCCCCTCCCCTCCCCCCCCTCCCCCTTGATGACGCTCTCATCCATCAGACGACGACTCACAATCCACCTACTTCACTTCACTTCTCCCCCTACCCTACCCTACCAATTCTCCCACACCACCGGCGGGATAACCGTCCTCATAACCGCCCAGTGGCCCAGCGCACTTTGCTCATGCCAGCCCTGGAACCTCTCCGTCGCATTCGCCCTCAACAAGCCGCCATCGCCCTCCCTCTCCTCGAAGACGGCGGCGTAGTCGACCTCGTACCGCGGCATCAGGTACCTCCGGCGGGCCTTGCTGCCCAGGAAGTCCGCCTCGACCGGCGAGCGGAACGACACCGACGACGACGCGCCGCTGGTGCAGATGATGACCATGTTGATAAAGTCGCGGCCGTCGGCCTCGAGCTGGTCCGGGGTCGGCGGCGCCGACTCCCGGAAGATGCGGCAGGTGGGGAAGACGCGCAAGATGGTGGCGACGATGATGCGGGCCGAGGGCAGGAGGAGGTCGCCTGCGTAGTTCTGGGGGAAAGGGAGGTGGTGGTTAACTACCTGTCTATGCATTTTCTGCATTTGGGGGGGAAGGGGGGGGGGGGGGGACATTGGAGGAGAGGGTTGGCTTACAATGGCAATGGAACCGCCAGGTTTCAGGATCGAGTTCAGGTCTTGCAGGAACTCGTAGGTGAAGAGGTCTACGGGCTCGGCGCCTCCAGTGAAGACGTCGTGGACGACGTAGTCGTATTTCTCGTCGGTCTGAGCGACCTCGTGCGCGTAGGCGACGGCGTCCGCGATGACCTTCTTGTGGTTCTTGGGGAGGTTGAAGTACTTGGTTGCAAAGTCGTGTACCACTGGGTCGATCTCTACAATCGTGGTCTGGATTCCGTGAGCCATTAACGCGGCTGGAGTTGTGCCGATTCCCAGACCGCTGAGACAGATCAGTCACGTGTGCATCGACGGTCGAGAGCGGGGGGAACTTACACGACAAAGGCCTTTGCTTCTGAATCCGGTACGGGCTTCTCGACTTCCACTAGTCGGACGGCTTCGAGCATTATGAAGACTCCGTAGATGGGCTCTGGCATGCTGTTTCGTGCGGTTTTGACGAGCCATTCTCCGCCCAGGAGGCTATGGTCGCATCTCATAACCCGGTACTCATGCTCTGCGCTCTCGAGGATGGAGATGTACCCAGTGAGAGACTCTTGTCTTTCGAGAAGCGTCCAGTTTGATTCTTGCAAGGTCGCATTCAAGGCCGATGTTGTGTACGAATATGGCACATGGACGTTGAAAAGCGCCGTATGCAAGAGTGCCGGAATGGCGAAGAGAAGCAACTTGGAAGGTGCAAAGATCGCGTAAAGCCCAGCTAACAAAATTTGCAATCCTAATCGAGTTTGGAAGAACGACGCTCCAATCCCTCTCTGGATACTGTTCATCGAGACGTACTCCATCCCCCTGAGAAAAGAATACGACAAGATTCCAGGCATGGCATCAGCCAGCCACTGCACCCGTCCCGGACTCATCTCCAAGTCCTCCAGAATCGTCGCTGTGCGAGAAACAGACAGCAAAAGCAGCGGCAAATGCGTCAACGACTCCGTGATGATCGGTCCATAGACTCCCCCAAGGCTCCCACTGATCTTAAAGAGGAAAAACTGCATCACAGGAACGTAGGCCGCAAGAAGCGGCAGCAGATGCTGCGGCTTCACGGGCAACTGCCTCCTGAGAAATAGATTCGACGACCAGCCCAGGAAGCAGGCCGTCATGACCCCCTTCGAATGCAGTCTGGAAGCTGGGATGCCGCCGTAGACGGGTGACAAGCTGAGCTTCGATACATTGGAGTAGACAGCCGCCAGGGTGAGCAGAGTCCCGGACTGAGCCAGGATCCAGGCTTGCTCGGCGGCCCATTTCCCCCAGGTCTCGGATCTGGCTTGCTCAGCGAGGGATTTCAACTCTTTCTCGAAGCTCTCCTGGGTGAGCAGCGGTGCACCTGGCGGGGGAGGTATTGGCGATTTCCCCGGTTTTGCTGCACTGGACGTCTGTGCCATGGTGTGGTCTAGGGGTGGATTAGAAGGAGGCCTCGGAATAGGAGAAGCGAGAGGGCTGTTTGTTTGCGAGGGAGTTGGTTGCAAGGAACAGCCAGAACGGCGAAAGCGTCGACGTGGAAATCAAAAGCTCACGCAGATAGACACCATGAAGCCATAGAAGTTGGAATGGGATTCTGGCGACGTTGCGGTTGGGATGGACTGATAGGAGACGGAGATCCATGCGTGGATCTTGAAACGCTAAAAGAAACCAAGGGTGCAGGTGGGGTTCGTCGTCACGTGTACAGGGGCAGCGAAGCGACCCCCTGAACGTTCGCTTCGTTGCGTTTCGAGTTTGTAAACAAACCGGCCATAACCTCCCGCCTCGTATATCTCCTCCTCGCCACGTCCAGCAATCTACCCTTGCCAAGTATCCATCAGCCTTAAAAGTTCCAATACCATATACAATGAGGCGAATGGATACAGATACATATATCCTCCAGCCACCGCGCTTCTCTTTCATCCACTCCTTCCACCCGCCCAATAAGCATCCATCTCCCTAAGCCGCGTAGCCTACCTAAACCAATGCCACCCACCCACCCATCTATCAAACCATACAAGAAACATCCCCTCTCTTGTCAATAATAGTATCATGGCCTCCGGAAAAACATAAGTATGGAGTATACTACTATATATGATACGATGAGAACGACGGTTTAAAGGGCCACACACACAAGAGGCGGGCAAGAGAGACTCATCGCGTTCACCACAACCACAGGAGACTACAGTGTATAGCCGAGCTGAAAGCATGCTTTATCGTCATTTTCATTTGCGATATAATTAAGAGAGAGAGAGTATTGAAAGAAGAATGCTTGCACCCTCTCGAGTCCCGACCACAGCCACGTTCATCATGGTATCATAAGTCAACCCCCGCCCACCCTTCCAAACCAAAATACTCCTCAAACGAGAGCACCAAGGCAGATGCTCTCCGAAGTCTCGGTGCAGACTGAGTAGACATCCATGTTCGCGCTACCCTAGCACTAAACCCTAAGGCAGTGACCATGCACCGCAGCAGAAAAGCAAAAGTACAACAAATGCCAGAGAGATGATTCATGTTCCCTATCCTGAGGAGGCCGAGCATTCAATGCAGCGCCCTAGTAACCCGAATCCCAAAGATCGTCCTCGCTCTTGATCAGTTCCGATACCGGCGTCCGACCCTCAATCTTCTTCTTCGCCTTACGCTCCTCCTTGGTCACTAGGCGTGGCGTGATGGGTATCATGGGCGTGAATGGCTGGTAAGGGCTGTACGGCACAGCTCCAGCACTCCAGGGTGTCTTTAGACCACCTGTGTGCAATCCATTGGAGGGAAGGTTTCGCTCTAGGACTGTAGTCTTTGTCGTAGGAACGAAAGACGGAGATTGAAGGGCTGGCTCAAAAGAACGGAATGGGAGAGCACGTGAGGATGAGCTGTTGGATTGTGGGCTGGGAGTTTGGATCTGACGAGCTGGCGGAGGCGGCAGGAATAGTGGAGTGGTGGAATTAGCGGAAGTAGCTGATCCGGGGTCGTTGCGGCTGTGAGATTTGGCAGATTCTTGGCTTTGGACCGAGGTTCGGTAGGGATTAGGGCCATGACGTGGACCAAATCTTGGACCTTGTTCGAAGGGCGATAGTTGTTCGGCCTGAGTGCTAGTCGGAGAACCGCTTGACATGGACAAGTTGAGGGAGTGAGTATGTGGGACTTGGTCTATGGGTACTGGTGGAGGTGGTGGTGGGGTGTAGTAGCGTGGCGTGAAGGGCTCTTCGTCTGATGCATTGTTTGTTGGGGACGTAGCCGAGATGGGGGGGGAGATTGGCGACGAAATTCGCATGCCTCTGATTCCCTTTCGTCTGGGTGATTTCAACGAAGAAATTATGGACGATGTTCGAGAGTGTGATTTTTGTGACTTCGCTTCTTCGATATCGAGAGTCGCAGGGCGAGATTTCTCACCTTTCTCAGAAGATGAGCTGTGCCGTGCCGGCGGATTTCTTGGTGCTGGTCCAATCTTCTGCAACTGTGGAGGAAGAGGCATCTCCTTCAAAATTACCCCATTGGCCTTGGCTTCCTCCTGCTCCATTACATGGGCATATATATCCTCCAAATCCCGTTGCAACATCTCACGGTCTGCCTCCACGATCCTCGTATCGACGTACGGATCTTCGATACCCAAGGGTGTTGTAGGCGATTTGTTCACGCTGGGAAAGATGTATGGGTTCTTCGTGTCGTTCTCTGGGGAGGGCCACGAAAAATTCCTCTGTCCTCTCTGGGCACCAGGCGAGATAGGCGAGGCCTCAAACTCTGCCGTCTTTGGAAAGGTGGTCTCGACCATTTCTATATCAAGAGCTCTGGAGGAGGCCTGGATCCGAATGCGTAGTCTGCGGCCAAGGACAAAGAGAAGTATCCCAACGATGCAGGCGCAGAAGAGGTATGCTCCAATTATGGCGCCAATCTCTGCCGGGAGGAGCGACTTGTCTCTGGTTGCTCCAGCTGATAGAGCAGGTCCGTCTTCTGGTGATGGGGCCGGGTCCCAATGAATGTTCAGTGGATTATTCTTCGGGATATCGTAGAAGATGTTTCCAGCACTTAGAGAAATGAGAAGCAGGATCACTTGAGCTATGATCGTTACCTCACTCCCTATATGCATGGTGTTTCTCTCCTTTCGAGGGATCGAAACGTCCCATATAAGTAGCCTTCGTCACCAAAGTCCGAAACGTATCGCGGCGTAAATCCAACATGGAGCTGATCACCTCTGACCTTTGAGCGGCTGCTGTATGTGATATACCGGGAGGGGGGAACTGGGCCTCTGCATCAAGTCGGTGGGCGGTACGGGCCTGAACGGCCGACCATTGGAGGACCTCATAATGGAAAATTCTGTTTGGTGGGCTGGTAAGAAACATGCATGAGCACAAGAATAGCGCCCGGAGCTGTGATGGGCGAAGATGTTCGTCTTGACTAGCAGGAAGCTGCAGGTAGGACGTTGACGATGTGGTTGGCTGGGGATCTGCGAGTTAAGCGCTGAGCTTTCGCCGTGGAGCAAGCCGTAAGCCCGGTCTGAGATATCCGCCATCCGGAGTATCTCAGTACCTGCAGCAATCACCTACACCAACCACATCCCTATGAAAGCTCTTCGCGCCAGCCATGCCCCTTAGGAGAAACATCCGAAAGACCACGATTTTGACGACTCGGTGATGTCGTAGGCGATCTCGTAAGTCCCAACTGTGTCCACCATAAAAGCTTTTTATCCGGCGGTGACCATCTCTGTCGGCTAACTCCTGGGATTTGTCCGGTGACAGCGGAGGACTCTTAGCCTTAGATTTCTATATTCCACCCATTTGGATGTGATGGAGTTGGCGGCGTCCAAGTGCATGAACTATGCTCTCTTGGCCGCCTATTACAGGTCCAAATCGGTGGAGCTTGCTGTGATTGCGCTTCACCAGTCTGATTTTGGGACCGAGAGTCCAGAGGATCTGTCATATCCTCGTCAGCAAAGCCCTCAAGCTCATTCCGAATCGCTATAGGTGGGTCCCGGACTGGTCGGAGACACTTCTGACCATCCGATATCTCAGGATATCTGGCTGATTGGTCGACCCTCTCTCGATCTCGTCAAAGTGCCCTTGATTTGGCACCTGGGCTTCTTGCGCCTGGTATCTGACTCTATTGGTCAGAGGAAACAAATGATAAAAAGACCGTCTTTCTCGGTTCTGATCGAGGGATTTCCATCGGGTGGGTAGACTGCTTGCATTCATCAAACATTCCGAAGCGAAGTGGAGCAACAGATTCAAAATACCAGACGGTAATTGATCTGTTTGGTGATGGTTGAAGCATGGATTCATCCTATAAATACGAAGGCGCTCGAGTAGCATCCCGGCGAGGATGGATGGATTCATTGGCGAACGCAAAGACGGGTTGGCTCCTAGGCAGTTGCTACCAACCGCCGGCCACACTTGCAATCAATCCTCACTCCTCTCGGGCAACAGAGACGGCGCGATCCCCTTGACACTCGTCGTAATCTCTGTACTTCTTCAAACGAATGACAGCAATGCTCTCCAAGTCGGACTGCAAGGAAGATCTTCGGAAGGTCGTTGCAGAAGGAAGACTGAGAATAATTGGTGAATATATGCCACTCGGCTTCTGTTCAGCGTGCTTGTTATTGGCTCCAGGGGCTTTTTGTCGTAGATTATTGCATTGTAACATACTCTGCTCTTTCTGAAGTTGCGTTTTGTCCTTATTCCTTACACTGGTCTTTCCTACTAGGAACTTCACAAAGCCGCAGCTCTAAATCCAGATCTGCTGCCTCAAATCACCTTTGCATCCCAAATATAGCCTTTGTACCTCTGAAAAGTCCTCGAGATGAAAAGCGAACCCCTCTGAGGATTTATGCTTGTAGAATCTGAACCATCTATCCTCTGGCAGGACGACCTCCTAGTCCTCGATCCCGGGTTGCAATCGTATCATCATATTTTCCAGCGCCATTAGCCGCGCTGCGAGCTCCAGATCATCCGTTGCCATTCTTGAAAAGCATATCGCCCTTATCGCTGTCGTCTATCTCCTTATCCGGATTCGAATCTTTTGAACCTTCGGTCAAAGCGGGTGTCTTCCTACGTTCTCGAAGTTCCCTTACCTTGTCCATCATCGCACCGAATGGATCGCCCTGGACCTCAATAGGCTGGGGTCGGCGCCCTTGGAACTCCTTGTCCGAAACAACTCGAGGCCGGCGATCTCCAACAATCCCAGTGTATGCTAGGAAATGGTACTTATCTGGCTCTTTATATTCGGCGTGAATTTCGACCATCAGCCTCCTGAGTTGTTCCGCGGCTCTCATCATAATATCAACATCCTTCGGAAAAATCAACCCACCAAAGATCTGCAACTGGTTGTCGGCATTTGCGAGTTCGGTGAATATCACGGCATATATAAAGGCCTGGCCCATCAATCCTGCTACTTCTTGTCGTCCAACGTTCTCTGTCCGAGTGTCCCAGCGGGTAAAAATATTCCTTGTTAGGGCCCAGATAAATCTCATCAAGACCTTCGGCTCTTGATGCAAGGCGTCCCTGCAGTTGACCGGTGGTTAGCGATGTGACAGGAATGACTTGGATATTGAGTCGCGTCAACAGGGAGTCGTTATCCACCTACCAGACACTCGGGTTTGAGTAGTCGGTATTTGTGTAAGAACCCGTTCTGGCGAATGGGAGTTCCGCAAACACTCGCTGCAAAGCTTCGGTTCTAAAGCTGAAGCCATTCGGCATCGCCATCCTTGTGACCTCCCAGTTGTCAAAGAAGTTCTCGGCGCCCGAACCTTTAAACAAAACCAGGTCAGATTCAAGTCGTGCACGCATCGGCCGAGGTACTTACATTGAAAGACCTGGTGTTCAAATCTGGAAATGCACGAGCAGAAGGAGCTCCCAATGAGCGAAATCTCAAGATCATCTCGGTGTCTGACAGGCAGCACTTGGTACCCATCGTCGATGAACTCGGATCCCCCGGTGGGCCAAGGCATAGGCCATTGAGTGCTATCAGCCAGCTCGGACAGCCAGCTTCTGTATGGATTTGCTGCATGTGTGCTCGAGAGGCTTTCTAGTCTGCGAGGGCTACTTCGGATCCCTCGAGCGCTACTTGTGTCTGTGGGAGCTTGCGCAGGTTGAGGGCCTCCGCGGGAGGTTGGGCGATCGGCCGTATCTGTAGGAAGCTGGGAGGGATCAGAGGGCAGAGAGTTTAGGCAGCTGGTTTGCTTGGAATCCACCTGCGCAAGCAGAGGACCTTCTCGCAGGATGCGAGGTTTTGCTATCTTGACCGGTGTTGGTGAGCTTTGGAACGGGGAAGGGGAACTACTTTTGGGTAGAGAAGACTTCTCGCTCGAGATGAGCGGAGCCATTGGAACCCTCTCTCTCTTCCCATCCTGTGGCTGAGGCGGCTTTGGTAACTGTCGGTCTGGGTCGGCAGCCATCTCTGTTGGTGATGGTGATGGTGATGGTGATGGTGATGGCGCGAATGAGGGTGTGCTTGGATGAGGAAGAGGGAAAAAAAGTGCTTTTCAAACTGAGTGACCTTTCACCTTCAGCGTTGAGCACCAACTAGGAAGTCTCGTTTGCTTGGTCAGACTTGTTTACGGAAATCCAATCGAATTCTACCAGCCGAGCTCCATCATCTCCGTTTACGTCCCACATCATCTCAGCTGTGGTCAAATATAATAAATAGTGATATGCGAAAACGGTTGGTCTCGTATGCATGTGTAGAATTTGGGCTATCTCAAGTACGATATTTATCTTATTCTCAGGGCATCGTCCTTATTATACTTGGGTTTTTGCCTCGAGAAGCCATACGCGTAATAGGTCATCAGCATCTTGAACCCTTCACGTTTACGAAGCAGCAACACACGTGATTACGGCTTAAATCAACAACCGGGCAGTCTTTCCCTCTTCTCCTCTTTTCAAGCAAGATATAGCAGCACATCTAGGAGAAGACGGGAAGACTGTAGGTTTCAAATTTTAGGTAATTATCTTCGGAATAAACGGCAAATACCAGTTCCAGCCGATTTCGCACCGCAAGCAGCGACTCTTGGGAACTTGAGTAGATCCGAAAGTGGGAGGGATATCAACGGAATATATATATCGCTACTCCTTGATCCCCATCCTGACCCAGCTACTTGCTAGCGAGCATGGCACAATCAATTGGTGTTATCGGCGGTGGCATCACCGGCCTAGCGTGTGCGTTCGTCCTGTCGTCGAAATTCAACGTCACAATCGTGGCGAGAGATCTTCCGGGAGACCTCGGGCAAGGCTGGGCAAGTCCCTGGTGAGTTTTCCCCGTCAGACCAACAACGCTTGATCATCCACTCTGATACTCTCAACAGGGCCGGAGCGACCTTCCATCCACAGAGAGACGCGACCAAGTCCGAACAGCAAATGCAACGCACCTCCTTCAGATTCTACTGGGAGCTCGCGCAGCGGAATCCGTCAAGTGGCGTGAAAGCGCTCCCCATGACCGAGTACTTTGATAGCGAGACCAGGGAAGCAGACCTCTGGTATCGCGATCTCATGCCCGACTGGCGCGTCCTTCCTGCTTCGGAAATACCTTCGGGTCTGAAGACGGGCGTCGCCTATACAGCTGTGGCCATGAACCCGCAGCTGCTGCTGCCCTGGCTGCAAGAGACGCTGGTATCAAGGGGGGTGATATTCATCCGTGCAGAAGTCACCAGCTTCGATGAAGCTCGCTCGATCACCAAATCCGAGATCATCGTCAATGCCTCCGGTCTTGGAGCGGGTATCCTCGCACGGGATAACGCGGTGCGTCCTATTCGGGGCCAGACGATGTTCGTGAAGACGGATTTCGGGCGCTTGGTCATGATGGAGGGCTCGGAGTATACGTATATCATACCGAGACCCGGGTCGGGCGGAGCGATCATTGGCGGGGTCAAGTCTCCGAGGCTGGACTCGGAGGTTGACGTCTCGCTGAAGAGTGATATCCTTCGACGTGTTAATCGTGTCAGTGACGGGGCTTTTGAAGACATCGACCTGGATACAGTGACCGACGTTGTTGGTTTTCGGCCCGGAAGGGATGGTGGGTTGAGAATCGAACGGGAAGGCGACGTGATCCATGCATATGGGGCAGCAGGGGCCGGTAAGTCCAATATCTCCGGGCTCTTTATCTGCGCTCTAGGAAAGGAAAGGTGAGGGCTTGAGAATGGATCATGTTCATCAAGCATTATGGAATTGTGGCTGACTCAAGTCTCGAATCTCAGGCTACATATATTCGTTCGGTGTAGCAGAAAGGGTCAAAGAATTACTCGAAGGAGATAATGTGAAGGCAAAGTTATAACGGCGGGAGCTACGGTGAATTATCACAGCTACTTGTAGCATAACAGACTGCTAAGATAATCATTGTTGTCAAATTGAATCGTCACGTTCACCTTTCATTGTTTTCTTCCGATCTCGCTTAATTTTTCCAGTGCCGAAGCTACACCACATTGATCTCGTCATTGTTCATTTAAAGCGCTAACACTGCTACTCTTGTCTTCATTTTAGCTTCATTTTCAATCTTTTAGCTCCGATACCATCTTATAAGATGACTTCTCTCACCACTCTCGATCTCCACCTTAACAACCTCGACAGCACTCGCCCACCATGAGCACAATACGCACTCCAGCAAACGCGTACGTTCCACCCCTCCCTCCGACAGTCACAAACACAGCAAGAAAATATCTAACAAACCAACAGATCTCCCCAAAACAACAATAACAACAATAACAGCAGCAGCAGCAGCAGCAGCAGCACGCCCATCTTCTGCTGCCGCTCTTGCCAAAACCTCACCAACCTCAACAGCCCCACCAAGATAGAGCTCTTCCACTTCGGCTGGGTCATGATGAACCCCCCCTCCCCCTCCCCAACCCCCATCCTCCATGCCCAGGCCCACACCCACTTCCCAATCCAGCACCCTCCAGCACACACTCTCGCACACCCCAGCCTACATCGTACTCGTCGAGCGCTTCACGCACGCCTCCCGGGACTCCACCCGCTACTTCTGCCCAGACCCAGACCTGGACCCGGCGAGCGCGTACGCAACGGCCTTCCTGGAGCTGGCGCCCGAGCTAGTGCACCGGGAGGCCTGGGTGCGCAGCTGGGAGTACGTCAAGATGGCGTGCGACGTGCATCCTGGCCCGTGGTTTAACTGTTTCTTCCTGCAGCGGGGGCCGCGGGTCATTGCTACGGTGGAGCTGGTCGAGTACGAAAATGAGTACGAGAATGAGTACGAGAATGAGTACGAAAATGAGAATGAGATTGAGATTGAGAATGAGATTGAGATTGAGAATGAGAGTGTGGATGGGGATGGAGAGAGGGAGAGAGAAGGTCACGCTCATGAGGAGACGGCCAGGGAAAGCCGCGCCGAGGCTAGTCACCGAGCGAAAAATCTCGAGCAAGAGAGAGAAAGAGAAAGAGAACCCCACCCTCCCCAACCGACGCCTATCAGCAACAGCAGGAGCCATCCACGCCACCTCCCACAGCCGCCGCCAACAACGAAGGAGACTCAGCCGCGCTCTCGGAAGAGGACTTTCCAAGACTCCACGCGCGAGGCGCAGAACCAAGACCAAGACCAAGACCGGGGAGAATCTGGAGTTGGTGGGAGCGCCCGGGGGAGGAGAGAGCTTGTTCTTTTCTTTTCTTTTCTCTTCTTCTTCTTCTTCTTCTCCTTCTAAGGTCGACGCTAACCTAACGCTTTCACACAGAGGATAGTACAAAAAGTCCGTCGTCGGTCTTGGCTCGTGAAGGGGAGAGGGTGGTGAAGAGAAGAGCGCTGAGCTTGTGACGGACGGGTGTTTATTGATTGTAGCGGCATTGGAGAGGAGAAGGTTGGTGTTGGTTGGATTATGATGAGAGCGATCGCTGGAACGCGAAGGGGGGGGGGGGAGAGATGCTTACCTTCTGGTACTTCAACACCCCATCTGCTTCAGGCACTACCTTTCGTGGTTTTGAAGTCTAGACGGAGCTTCACATAATGATTACTCGAAGCACGGTTACACGAAGCAAGGAGCCTAAGAGATATCTAAAAAAACATCCATTTTTTAAGCGATGTTTGTTTTCGATCCTACTGACAATCAATTTTTTAAAGAATCCTACTGGGCACAGATGCGACAGTGCTGGTACCGGTACTTCCCCCCTCATGGCGTTTATTAGGATTCAACCAATCCAATCAACACTTGGACTTCTGGGTTCTGTTGCACAATCATCGCAATTATGCTTAAAATTGTCGGTCGCACAGGGGGCTCCAATGCTCCTTCTGAGCGTACCCGTGATCGCTCCATAAATTCCCGCGCGATCGGGCTTTGGCAACGGTGGACTCTTGGCTTCAATCAAACTGATCCGATCAGTAATTCCGCTCCTCGATCTTTGCAGGCGCGTCAGAATCTCCGGAACCCTGTCTTCTACCGGCTCTTCTTTGTAAGCCTCCTCGTAATCTGCTGTGCTGGCGAATATCTGGCTTATAGAGAGTCGAGGTGGGCAAATAGAAGGAGGCCGCCACCGGCTTGGAACCGTTTCACGCTCCCCTTTATGGATGTTGTCGATGGTCCGGACTCTCTGAATGCGAGGCACTGAGCTGCGTCTTCTAGCTCCTGAATAGTTTCCAATTGAGGAGCCCATTCTGGAACTTTCACCGATGCGGGAGGAGGCTTTGGGGTGAGGCTTCAGAACGCTCTTCCGACGGCCGCCATCGTTCATTGGGGGGTCTGTGTCAGAAGGGCCGAAGCCATAATCTGCTCTGAATTCTATACCAGGAGATGGGGCTCGGGAAACTTCCGCAGAGCGTACCCACGAAGTAAATGGCGCTGTTGGTGTGGTTGATCCCAATGGCCCAACATTGACATCAACGCCGAGATCGTACAGTGACCGAGAACTTGCCAGAGGTGATTTCGCTAGAGGAGACGCCGATACAATTTCGGGCAGTGGCGAGAACCATTCACTGGTGGTTTTTCTTGTAGACAGCGGAGGGAACGAAACGACATCCTGCAATTCTTCATGGGAAGCAGCGTATCTCGGAAAGGGTCTTACTCGGGGAGTGACCTGTTCCTTAGGATTTGATGGATTATTTTTGGTAGTATTAGGCGTGAAATCGGTCGAATCCGACTCGGAGGATGTAACTATCATGGGAATATCGTTCTGAGGTAGCCTCCAAGACCATTCGCTGATTGATTCTCGTGCATTATTGGGGTCGAAAGCGTCGCCTTTGTATGTGACAGCTTTCTTACGCTTTTCGGGTAGGATATCAGGCGATGTAGACGGCTCTGAAGAAGTGTCACCAATGGCCAGCAGCTTGGAGTCCTCATTGGACGCTGCAGAAGTGACGGATCCCCTCGACGTTCCGCCGCCCCCCTTCCAAATTACTTCATGCACACTCTTCTTAGAATCTACTCTAGAGAGAGATTGCGAGCCTGAACCAGCGGGCAAGACTCCGAGGTAGTCGGGTTGATTGCGAGACCGGGTGGGGGATCGAGGGGCTTCTGTGTTTGGGACTGAAGACTCCGCTGCGGATAAGTTCGAGGGTACAAACCCTTTAGTAGAGTTGCTGAGAGAACGTGTCTTTCTCGACGATACCGACGAGTCACGAGAGCGTGTATGAGGATTATACTTCCGCTTGAGATTTGCAGCAATGAGCTCTGTGATGGAGTCTATGTCTTCGCTCGTAATCAGGTATGCGGTAGGATAGTCCTCTAAGATACCTTGCAAACCGGCAAGTGGTGTCATTGCGCCTGAAATGCCACTGTAGTCCTTGTTTAACGCATTATTGCCACTTGCTGCGCTCGCTTCGCTCGCACGCCTCAAGGTAATTGAAAGCGGAGGCTCTACGTGAGCCTCAGATTGATGATCTGAAGCAACTTTGCGAATGGTCAGCCTCTCACGAACGGTCCGGACAATGTCCTGTTCCGCAGTGGTACGCTGGAGTTTCGAGTTCTGGTTTTGAGTCTTGAGGTTCTTTTGCGTGAGTGTTGACTCCTGGCTAGGTGGAGCTGGTGAAGCGGTTTCTGTTGATGCTCTGGACAGGGACGGTCGGTTTCGTGCGGGCCGATTGAGACTAGCTCGGTGTGTACCAATCTCGACCGAACTCCATCTCCTGGAGACAACAGGAGGCGCTTTTCCTGGCATCAAATGGGGCATCAGGCGTCCATACGTGTCGGTACTGCCATGCTGCGTGCCTCTAGGCATGAAGCGGCCAGCGTGGCCGTGACATAGCACTCTCTGTCCGGCTGGGGCCGTAGGTGCAATCTGACAATCTGTATCCCCCCAGCATGATTGATCGTCGTGTGCACCTGCTTTTCGTTTGCCATGTCGACATTTGTGTTTCCTGCGGCGCCGTACTTTGAGTTTGATGGGTATCGTCTGAGCTCTCCTCAATTTTCCCATCATCGAAAGACTACCATAGCTTTGCTTTCGAGGTATATATGGGGGTTTATCGGAGTCCGCCTGGAAGCTGGGAGGCGTTAGGAATTCCCCATACTCACCACTGCTATAACTGCAAAAACTGTGACCCGTATCAGAGGAATGAAAAGATCCCGGAGTGACGCATGGTGGAGTTGCAAAGATGTCTGGAGACGCGGTTCGATTGCTGCGAGCTACAGAGCGACCGCCTCGGGGAGAAAAGTAGGATCTCTCTTGTCTGCATTGCAAGGCCTCGGAGATCGGAGGTGTATGCAAGAAGGTAGAGCCCCTGGAAAGAGTGGCAGGTGTATTGCTATCGCCGGGAGCTTGAGAATGACTTTGTCGACTAGGACTGGGAGAGAAGAAGCCGCCGCCGCCGCCAGAATTTTCCGGAGGGGTGGGCGATGCAGCGATCTGGTTTATCTGAGGAAGATGATGATGACCGCGGGAAGACATTTTCTAGGGATGCATAGGGAAGAGATGCATTGGGAATAGATGCATGGGATGTAAAAGAATGAAGATATCTGAGTCGCGACCTTTGAGAGACGGAAGACTGAGGGCGAGCAAACGGAAAGAAACGAAATACAACGATACGATACGATAGGATATGACTGCCCCAGAAACGGCAGGAGCGACGCTGTTAAAGCAGATGAGTAAAGGTGAGTGCCTATCTGGTATAACCGAAATAAAATCAATTGCTGAGTACTATATCATAACGATCGCGAGACTGGGCGGCTCCGGTCAGTTGTGCGTTCGAGGCGGGCATAGTCGACAGCTTTGAAGCAAGCGCGAATTCACGTGAGCACCTTCATTATCTCGCGAGGATAGGTAGCGTTGGGGTGGTTTGGTCCAGGCACAGAAAAAACGAAAGCGACAGAATACAAGGAAATGATAAGAGGAGCAGATACACTTGTATTTACCGGTAATTGCAGGCATACGATACGAGCCATAGCTATTGGAAACTGGCCAAAAGATATGATAGCATCTTAGTATCATTATAATAGGCCGCGAAGAAGTGCTATAGATCCTACAGGCTGCAGATTTTCAAGTACTTAAGGTCTCGATAAAATGCTATTGAACCTCACGTTCCTGCCCACCTAATGCCCGCACCCGTGGACCGAAGAGATGAGCGCGAGAATGGATGAGGCAGAAGAGAAGTTGAAACAGTACCGCATCTGACAGCAAAACAGTACTTGACAGCATTGCGCATCGTCAATAGCGATCGAGCCGTGACCGAGTCCCAAGGAGTGAGAGGTATTAGGTCGCGGCGAGGAATGGGGAGCGCCAGTATACCATCAGCCCAATACGCATCGGAAGGCGGGCGCTCCCGTCTACATCCACATGACATGCCGACTAACGCTGCCGTCCTGTGAGTTAAGAGACGCGCAGAACTACATAGTCGCGGAGAGAGACACAATCCCCGATTAAAATGAAGAGACAATATTCGTACGATTTGATGATCGCTGGAGACACCCAAGAGAACCGACTCGGCTGGATGTATCAGAAGAGGGAGCACAGCACAGATCACTGGAGTGATTGAACAAGTCCGGCGGACGCCTCAACTGAGCAATCAATCTGTCAGATGAACTACATTTGCAACTGCTCGGGACACTAGCAATGGTAGAAACCTTCGGAGGAGTCAGAGCGGAAGATATCAATCCAATGACAGAGGATGTGTAGCGACAGGCTCGGGGATAGATCGGGTGTCCGATTCTCACAACTATAGGAGTTTGCAACACTTGGAGCTCCGTTGCTTTACGGTATTTGAGATTTGAGCGGATGGCGGCCGCGAAGCTCAGAGCAGAGAGGGACGCGCGATGGAAGGAGATGATAGCCGTACGAAAGACCTACGAGATCAGACTAGGATTTCATTAGCACATCTTTCTTCTCCTTTTCTCGACACATTTTCTCTCCTTCACCATGGTTTTCAATTTGACATCTTCCTCTTTCTCTTACCACTTTGTGCCTTAACACACACAACCTTCGATCGGGCTAGAAGGGTGCTGCTACCTTTCGATGCATATATATATATGCTCCAACATTCTTCATGGGGATAATCTCATGGCGCGGCTTGAAGAGGGCCGTTGAGGCATGTCGCGATGCATAAAATTGTAGATGAAGCATAATATATATGATGAATCATTGTGCAAAAGCAGACCTGAAATGCACAGTGCAGTTTTCCAGTAATATAAACATATTTACCGCACGCCATGAAGCAAAATATATATGAATATAAAGCATACTCTGCGCCGGCAATGGAAGTGGCATGGCAGGATTCACGTGAGTACTGTGATTATGTGCCAGTTTTAGCGAGGATTGCTTTATTAGTAAGGCGGTGAGTCAGAAGGCCTGACACTGAGGCAAACTCTACGGTAAAGGCATGTTCAAATTTTTTTTAGTGTAAATTGTAAGCTTGCTTCCGAGCGGTCGACATCCAACATCCGAAAACGGGCGCTTGGTCTAGGGGTATGATTTTCGTTTCGCACAATGCTTCCAAGCAGCATGGGTATATGAAAGGTCATGGGTTCAATTCCCATAGCGTCCAAATAGATTCCGGTGATCTGTTCTTTTGTCCTTTGGCTCTCCAAGAGCCAGTCAGACATTTTGTAGTCCTGCTTTCTGTGTCTGAAAGGCCCTTGTGCAGATTGGAGATCTTTTTGTCTTTGGACCCACTCCAGCAATTTAGCCGAGTGCCGCAGGGCTTAATTCTTATCCAAATGTTTCATCGTCCGTAGCCTCAGTTCTTTGACAGCTCATACGTGGCACTGTAATTCAATATGGATACAATAGAATACGTCCGTTTGCACATCTTGCCCTTTAACTCCGCGCTCCTCAGAACCATCATCCCGCCCTCGATTCTCCCAAACGCGCGCAACATCTCCTACCACGAAATCGCGACCTTCCCCGAGAAAGCCTATGGCTACGTGGAGCTGCCCATCATGGACGCCGAGAAGATCAAGAAGAAGCTGAATGGCACCATTCTGAAAGGCACCAAAGTGCGCATCGAGAAGGCGCGCGAGAGGAAGGAGAGGGTGGTTGAGGAGGCGAAAGCGGAGGGACCAGAACGGCCGAAGAAAGAGAGGAAGCAGAAGCGCAAGAGGGATGAGCTGCCGGGCGTGGACATTGGCGAGCGGCACGTCAAGAGGGGGTGGACCACGCCGGCGAAGGATATTAAGAAGGATCTGATGGTCAGCAACAAGTCGAAATTTACCACGGGTCCGGAGTGTTTGTTCAAGACGAATTTGCCACCAAACGTTGCTTCGCGAGAAAAGATTGCGGAAGCAAAGCCGGACAAGAGGAAGAGGAAGCCTGGAAAGGAGGCTGTTGTGCATGAGTTTGCGAAGACTACGAAATATGCGACGTTTTTGAGGGGCAGTGGGTTGTCGAATGGGACAAAGACTGTGGCAGAATTTGTGGAAGGCAAGGGATGGTTTGATGAAGAGGGCAACTTGGTTGAGGGAGTCAAGACCAAGAAGAAGAAGGCCATACCCGTGCCAGTGGTGGAGATGGAGAGTAGCGATCTCGTTGAGAAGAATGCTGAGATGTTGGATGAGATGGAGGTCGATTCAGATGTGGAAGGCAAAGAAAGCTCAAGCGATTCCGGCTCGGCAGATGAGGACGAGGACGAGCATGACCTGGCCAAAGTAGAAGCCATCGAAAAGGACAGTTCTAGCGACTCGGATTCTGGTAGCTCTCACGAAGACTCAGATCACAAGAGCATTCCGAGATCATCTCCTATCGCAACGAAGAAAGCTACCCAGCAAGACTCTAGTTCTAGCGACGAGAGTTCGGATGAAGAACCCATCGCAGAAGCTCAAGTCGAAAAGGAAGATACCCCGCCAAGCTCTGATTCGTCGTCCGAAGAAGACTCGTTGTCTGAAGAAGACTCGTCGTCCGACTCATCGGACGATTCGGGGGCAGACTCTGAATTCAAGAAACCTCAGTCTGCCATCAACACTAAACTACAAAACTCCACCATTCCAGCTTTAAGCATTACAATCCCCGACTCACTCATATCTACCCCAGTCGCCCCACCGGTTCATCCTCTAGAGGCGTTATATAAGAAGACCGAATCAGACACCAAGAACCCGCCCAAGGCAGTGCCATCTTTCAGTTTCTTCAGTGCAGACAACGACGATGAAGAAGCCCAAGTCGGGGCTCATCTCCAAGTTCCTCTCACTCCCTATACACAAAAGGACATTGAGCACAGAGGACTTCGAAGTGCTGCTCCAACTCCAGATACGGCACATCCAAGCAGGCGATTTGTTTGGCCTAGCGCGAACGATCAGGACGAGGATGGTGGACGTGTGGCTGGCTCTCCAACTCGGAAAAGCGAAGCGAAGGGGAAAGAAAAGGAGAGAGAGAAGGCGACAGAGCCTGAGAGTGATTTCCAGAAGTGGTTCTATGAGAACAGAGGGGATGTCAGGCGGGCCTGGACAGGGAGGAGGAAAAGTGCTGCGAAGGAGAAACGCCAGAGGGAGAACAGGAAGCGAGAGCGTCGTGCTGTCTGATGATCCCAAGTACAATTTTATATAGTATAAAGCAGATATTGCTGCTGTCAGATCAACTGTGGATGATACCCCAAATGCATAGCTACCTCTGACAATATATTGTGCCCTGCTTCGGAAGGACATCTTCGATTGGGTCAGGGCCGTGAAGACTGCTTCCATCGCTCTGTAGACTCCATCTTCATGACGATACAAGACAAACAAGAAAGAAATATATATTTAATAAATCCTTTATTGTTATGTATAATTTTTCCATGCTGATATTTACACCGGATCAATGCAGTGAGAGATGAACAACAAGCTTCGCATCTGGCTCCTGACGTCACCGTAAATGCGCATGCAGCCTGGATCACAAGCTCACGCTGGAATCAACAAACGATTGCCCTCCCCCACCACGGCCCAGATGGAGCAGCAATAGCACTCACCTCACCTATTGACGCAGTCTCCCCGTCGAGAACATGAGGGCAGCCTCGAGCATAGGCCGAACATGCCTCCGTCAAGCCATCCCGCGCCTGCGCTCAGCAGTGCACTGTCGCGTCCAAGTCGCCGCCAGACGAGCATATAGCGGTGGCCGGCGACAAAGCGGTAGCTGGTGGCTTCTCGGCTCTCCGCCCAAGACAGCCGGATTGGGGCTCGCAGCTGCGGCGGGCTTGAGTCCGCTGGCGTTCGTGGAGTTATCCGAGGAGGAGGATGGGAAGCCTGAGTCGACGGCCGAGGGGCGGATGCTGGAGGCTTCGAGGAAGGAGATTCGAAAGGAGGTGAAGGACGATGTGACCGGGATAAGACGGGTGCGGGATACTATCATTGTGTTCCTGGATGTGTACGTTTGGGAGCCGCTGTGTACTGGGCTGCGGTTCCTGCATCTGGTTGTCATATTCGTGCCGGTTATTGTGACGGTTCCGGCACTCTGGATCGGGATGAGGGATAAGAAGAGGGATAATGAGAGGTCTGGGACGCTGTGGTGGTACTGGTTTCTAGTGAAATCGATGGAGCGTGCTGGACCTGCTTTCATAAAGGTATGCATGGAGGAGTCTGGAGATGGCTAGGGGAACTGGGCTAATAGACAACAGCTTGGACAATGGGCAGCTTCACGATCAGATATTTTTCCGGAGCAGATGTGCGAAATAATGTCTCAATTACACTCTAATGCGCCCGCACACTCGCTACACGAGACGAAGCGAATAATACGAAGAGCGTTTGACGGTAGACCATTTGAGGATATATTCGAAGAGTTTAATGAAAAGCCTTTGGGGGTTGGGGCTATCGCGCAAGTCTATAAAGCGAAGCTGAAGGCAGATTTGGCAGCTCCTGGAGATGTCGATATAAAAGAATCACGAGACTTTCGACAGAACGTTAGGAAGAATGTTGATACTCTGATCAAGAGTACACCACAGCGAGTGCCTTCTACGTATGTGGCGATCAAGGTTCTGCATCCGGGAGTCGAACGAATGGTTCGGAGAGATCTGAAAATCATGGGATTCTTCGCCTCGTTGCTCAACATCGTCCCGACCATAGAGTGGTTGTCCTTGCCGGACGAGGTTGAGCAATTTGGAGAGATGATGAGGCTGCAATTGGATCTTCGGATCGAAGCGGCAAACCTTACAATTTTCCGGAAGAAATTCAAAGAGAGAACAACGGCCTGGTTTCCATATCCATACACCGCCTTCACGACGAGACAGGTGCTGGTAGAGGAATTCGCGCAAGGCATTCCCTTATCTGATTTTATGGAGAACGGAGGCGGAGTGTTCCAGCAAGAAATCGCGGACGAAGGACTCGATGCGTTCTTGCGGATGTTGCTGCTGGATAATTTCGTGCATGCTGATCTTCATCCGGGCAACATCATGGTCCGCTTCTACAAGTCAGAACAGCCTCGCCTGCCATTCAGTAGAGACAAGGACGAAGATCCCCAAGCTCAGCCTGATGTCACAGAGCAAGTCTTAGCTCGTTTGAGACCTTATAGGCACAGAAAAGATACAAAGGCATGGGAGGCGGAGCTGCAGAAGATCGATAATGAAGGATTCAGACCTCAACTGATATTCATCGATACTGGACTCGTCACAGAGCTCAACGCCACCAACCGGACGAATTTCCTAGACCTCTTCAAGGCAGTAGCCGAGTTTGACGGCTATAAAGCAGGGCATCTCATGTGTGAGCGCTGCCGACAACCAGATGCTGTCATTGATCAAGAGATCTTCGCTCTGAAGATGCAGCATCTTGTCATCGGTGTCAAGAGCCGAACTCTAGCCCTCGGGAACATGAAGATCGGAGATATCCTCAACGAAGTCCTCGGCATGGTTCGAAGCCACCATGTCAGAATGGAGGGCGACTTTGTCAATGTGGTCATCAGCATCCTGCTACTGGAAGGCATCGGGAGGAGCTTGAACCCTGATATCGACTTGCTGTCTAGCGCCCTCCCGATCCTCAGGCAGCTGGGTACTCAGAGCGGCGGGGGCATGTTGAGACAGGGCGACTTCTCCATGCTGAAGGTGTGGGCTGGCTTGGAAGCTAGGAAGTTCCTGCAGGCCAGCATTGAAGATGTAAGATCCGCAAACTCGAGGCCTCGAAAGTGTGCTTGCTAATGGGTGCTGCAGGTTGAGAGATGTGTAAAATACGATTTGCTTTCGCCCAATGTATAGAGTGGCGTGGGCTTTGGGACTGGGACTGGAACTGGGTAATGGGTATGGGTATGGGAGGCGTTAGAGACGATACAGAACGATATGGGTATGATCAGCATAAATTTTTCCTCTTCCCCCCCCCCCCCCTTCGAGCATGAGAGACACTGCGTTGAGCTTTCTTCTTTTTTTTTTTCAATATATATATACATGTCTATCTCCCTCCCGTATTGATGTCTTGCGTACAAGTCCACCACACCACCATCTCGCCTCGTCTTGTCTAGTCCCTAATTGAATCCTTTCCTCTTCCCCTACTCATCAGTGCTCTGTAAAGAAAGAAAGAAAAAGAAGTAGAAGAAGAATGGCGTGGAACAACATGGGAATAAACAGAACTCGTATAGCTAAAAGTAATAAAGCAGTCTCAACCCTCGATGCATTGTTATACCTATACCTATATAATGGATCGATCCATCCATCCCCCGATGCTATGCTACGTACGTACGTACGTACCAGGCAGGTCTGATCTCCCTAAAAAAAAGGGATTCCAGACCTTTGCAGTAGCAGCAGCAGCAGCAGCGGCAGTAGATTGCAAAAAATCCCCGTCAAAAACAGCTTGCCGGTCCCGTCTAGTCGTTGGTTGGTTCAAGTGTGCGAGTTCAAGTGTTCGGGTTCAAGTTCAAGTCACTTCACTCGAGTTCACTTTTGAAGTCCATCCAACCAACCGACCAACCAACCTCATCGCTTATAACACCCCTCCTTCCTCGATCTTTCACCTCACCTCTCCTCTCCTCTCACCAACCACACATACACATACGCGTCTCTCGTACAGCAATCACTGTTCGGTCGACCTCCCTCAAGTACACAATCATCACTCTACTTTCTCTCCTCTTCACTTCAAAGGACGCGAAAGGCTTGAACTCGTCGCGGTCGGTCAGTCCTTTGTAGTAAGCGCGATCTTTCCATATAGGTACAATACAAACCGGTAAGGATTTCTTCTCCCATCTCTCGTCCGTTCGTCCAAAGGTGAATTCGTCGTCCATCTAACAACCGCTCAGGCTGCCGTCGACCACCCCCCCATTCAATCGACTCCATCCATCTCGCCTCACCCTCCTCCAACTCTTTCTTCTCGACCTCACAACCTCACAACCTCACAACCTCACAACCTCACAACTCTCAATCGACGCCATCCATCCGCCTCATCCTCCTCCACCTCCTTCTTCTCGACTTGACAGCCTCACACCTCACACAACACAACTCTCAGACCGAGATAACCTCACAACAGCCACACCCCTCCCTCCCTCCCACCTCACCCGCGCAAGGTAGTTGCAAGCCCGACGCAACCTAACGCAGCACAACGCAGCGATGGCATCGATGAACGACCCCTTTGACGACTCCAATGAGAACAAATCATTGCCTGCTCGCCTACCCTCACTCTCAATTACACCTTCCAACCCGCCGGTAGGAAGAAGAGAGATCAGTTCGCATCTGAATCCGGCCGAGCCTCAACAGCAACAACCCCAGAACCCTTTCCGAGACTCCGAAGACTCCCCTCGCCCTTCAACCGGCGAGGACGACGTCGTGCCACGCGATATGCCGCACCCAGATCCGCGCGCTGCTCCAGCTCACACTCACCCTCACATGCTGCCAGGGTCGGGAGTTGCTGCTGCTACTGTTACCTCCGTTACCACTGCACAAGGAGGAGGTAACCCCCGGACGACGGGAGGAGGAATCACCATCGTTAGAGAATTCGGAACGACGTCGACGACAGCGACGGCAAAGAGGACCGGTAAAATGAAAGCAGTTGCGCGCGATTACTGCCAACCAGGCAGCTCCAGAGGAGGGGCGGACAGTGGAACCTCATCATCCTTTAACACCCGCTTTGCGCCCGACCACTGCCAGCCCCAACCCAGCCGCTCCAGACGGGGCGTAAGCAATAGAACCTATTCGTCACCCTTTCACACGCGCTCCGTGTGTGAGGGTGACGAAGAGGTTCCCAGCTCTGCTCTGGAGCTGCTTGGAAGGTCCTCGTCACCCCAACACACGCCCTCTGGGTTGGCAGTAATCGATTACTGCCAACCCAGCAACTCCAAACAGGGCGTAAGCAATAGAACCTATTCGCCATCATCCTTCAACACGCGCGCTCCATTCGTATCAGGAAGAAACGGGAAAGGCATCGCGACAACCACAACGAGGGCAAACCCCTGGGCGACGACCTTCAGCCCCGAAGAAACTCGACGTGAAAATGAATATCCGCTGACGACTATGCCAAGAGCGTTCCATGCGGGTGGCGTCTACCCAAGCCCCGATGTCGATGTCGACTATAACTTCTCTCCTGTGACTCCCACTATTCGGATGCCAGCAGCAGCGACCTTGGCACCCCCCCTCCGTCCAGCGGCAGGGCGCCGTCTCGCCTGGCTGAGCTCTCTCACCAGCAGACTCGCTATGCGCAGCCCCTCGATCAGCACGTCAACCTATGCCCTCGAGCTCGGCATGCAGGCTCGGGAGGAGTCCAATCGTCAAGATGATGAACTACTCGAGCAGATTCGTATAAGAGCCAGCACAACCTTCCAGGACAAACCGCGACTGCGCCACTCGCCGTCTGTGATCCGTGTCGCAACCGAGCTCATCCAGGCGCGCGACAACAGCAAGCCGTACGGCTCTGGAGCAGTGCTGCACTCCAAGGCTTTCTGGCTCGTTTTTGCTCTGCTCCAGGCCGGCGCTATCTCAGGCACCGCGGTCCTAGCCGTGATTATCGTGGAGGAGACTGCAAGAGGAGAGGCAGACATGAACACCGGCCGCGTCTTATGGGTTGTAATCAGTGTCGCCTTGATCGTCATCGGCGGCTTAGGAACATGGCTCATCTATCTGCACAAGAAGGGACTCTCTGTTTTCGGTGGCACAAGAAACGTTCGGGATGCCGACGAGGTGGCGTTGCTGGATATGGCTGTCGGGCAGGATATCCCCTTGTCGGACATGAACCAGAGCACTCCTCCGGATCTAGAGCGAGGCAACACGCGGCGGGTGACAGTGCTCTCGGGCACTGGGCGTCCCAGCCTGCGAGCACGTGGGATGGCGAGGATGGCTTCGATGAACAGCGTGGTCACGGCGGATCCGACCTGGCAGGCTCTCTACTCTTCGCCCCAGGAGCTCCGGACGATGGTTTCACAGGAGACGATTAGGGAAGAGCCGGAGGAAGGTGACGACACGCCTGTGAGGAGAGGCGAGCCAGGGAACCCAGGCCGTGGAGCGGATGTTATGCCAGGCAGCATGGACAGCGATGCAGTCGAGGACCTGTACAGCGCGTCTCCGGTCAAGGCGTCCAAGCCAGCAGCACAATTCAAGCGTTTGGATTCCAGCTGGCCGCTTCGATCGCCGCCCCCGGCCCAGCCCGCTCCATTCGTCAAGACCCATCCCCAGCGTATCCGAGATCTAAGCACGCCTCCGAAGCGTCAGATTCAAGGAGAGACCGAGAAGGAGTCCCCCGGAACCCCCTCCAACCACCGCCGCCGTAGGCCAACGCTCGAAGTTGGCCGAGGCTCCTCCCCCTGTGTGCAAGGCTTCTCTCCCCTCACAGATCTCTCGTATGCTCTCACCAGCGGCGAGATTGCGGCCCTCCCCATCCGGCATCGCCCGCAGTACATCCAGAAGCAGCGAGCCGAGAGCGAGGAGCGCATCCGTGGCGTCCGCCAGAGCCTGAACCATGCCTCCTCCTCCTCCGAGCAGCCCCACTCAGCAGCTACCCTCGTGCGGATGTCGGTGCCACGCATCGAGCAGCCCTCTGGCAGCAGTAGCCGGCCCAAGAGCACAAGCATCAGCGAGATCTACACCATCACCGCTGCCGCCGCCGATGACGACGAAGACGATGACAAGTATGTGCTCGACGAGTCCGAGTCTGAGGCCAGCGTCGCCGTCGCCGTCGCCGTAGCCCCCACCCCCACTAATGATATCGTCCCTGCTGCCGACTCACGTCCGATCTACAAGCCCAAGATCAGACGGAACATGTCCCTCGCTGAGTTTCTGAGAGCGGACAATATGACGGACGTCGTCGTCGATAATGCTCATCGTCCCGTCCTTGGTATGGGTGGGGGTATGGGTATGGGTGCGGGTGCAGGTGAGGAGGGTGCGAAGGATGGAACTAGACATGCAAAGATGTCACGGTCGCGGTCGCCCGGCGTAGAGCACGCAAAGAAGATGCTGGCCAGCGTCAAGGAGCACTTTACCACGTCGACGTCGACGGAGCATCAGCAGTCGCATGGTGATAGGAAGAGAAAGAAGTTGGGAAGCGTGGTGCGGGAGAGGATTGGGAAGCTGAAGGAGAGTGGTGTGGTGACTGAAGAAGCTGAAGCTGAGGGCGGTGTGGTGATTGAGGCTGAGGCAGAAGGTGAAGGTGCGGGTGGTGAAGGTGAGGCAGAAGGTGAGGCAGAAGGTGCGGCTGCTGCTTCTTTGTAAGCTGGTTGGTTGGTCTCTTCTCAACACTCTCAACACTCTCTCCACTCTCTCGACTTCAACCCGTCGCATATCGCAGCAGAGCAGATCAGAGAGCAGATCAGAGAGCAGAGAGCAGAGAGCAGAGAGTAGAGAGCAGAGAGCTTGTACCAGGACGGTTCTGTTAGATTTGGTTCGTTTTGTACCAAACGTTTTGTACCAAAGCAGAGGAAAGGTGGCTGGCTATACATAATCGATACGGGCAGACGTGGAGTCTCTAACTCGATATAGAACATGTACAAAGTATCCGCAGAGAACTGTACGCAAATAATTTCAAAAAAATCATCATCATCATCATCGGCTTGCATAGGTGAAACTGGTGAACGGGATCGATGGCTATGGATAGCTAGATAGCTATGAAGTAAGAAAAAAAAACACCCCCCCCACAATTCAATTGCCAAAAACAAAACATTCTATACGTCCGTCCGTCAATAGAGATAGGTAAGTGAATAAATAACCTGCTGCTACTACTACTACTACTACTACTACTACTACTACTACTACTACTACTACTACTACTACTACTACTACTACTACTACTACTACTACTACTACTACTACTACTACTACTACTACCTACTACTACTACTACTACTACTACTAC